GAGAGGGAACATACCTCATCATAATAAAGCCCATATATGAAAAACCCACAGAAAATATCCTCAAAAGGAGCAAAACTGAGAGCTTTTCCTCTACACTCAGGAAGAAGACAGAGATGGTCACTCTGACCACTGTTATTTAACATAATACTGGAAGTAAGTCCTAACCACAGCAATCAAACAACAAAAAGAAATAAAAGGCATCAAATCAGAAAGGAAGAAGTCATACTTTCACTATTTGTAGATGATGTGATGTGCTATGTAGAAAACCCAAAAGATTCCACCAAAAAATTGCTAGAACTGATACACGAATTATAAAATTGCAGGGTACAAAAGCAACATACAGAATTCTGTTGCGTTTCTATACCCTAATAATGAAGCAGCAGAAAGAGAAATCAGGGGATCAATTCCATTTATAATTGTACCAAAAACAGTAATGTACCTAATAATAAACCTAACCAATGAGGTAAAAGATCTGTATTCTGAAAACGATAAAACACTGATGAAAGAAGTTGAAGATGACACAAAGAAATGGAAAAACATTCCAGGCTCATGGATTGGAAAACATTGTTAAAATGTCTATATTATCTCAAAGCATTGTACACATTTAATGCAATCCCTATCAAAATACCACCCGCAATTTTCACAAAATTTGTATGGAACCATGAAAGACCCTGAATAGCCAAAGCATTCTTGAAAAAGAAAAGCTGGAAGCATCATAATTCTGGACTTAAGTTGTATTACAAAGCCATAGTGATCAACATGGTATGGTACTGGCACAAAGTAGACACAGAGATAAATGGAACAAAATAGAAAACCCGGAAATGATTCATCATTTTCACAATCAGGTGTCTCGAGGTCTTTCTAGATGCTATGATCTTGGGGGGAGACCTTTCTGCCTCTAGGACTCGAATGCTGGTTCCATTCGCCAGATTGGGAAAATTTTCATGGAGAATTTGTTCAACTATATCTTCTAGTCTTTCTTTCTTTCTCCTCCCCCTCAGGGATTCCAATAATTCTGACATTGGAATGTTTCCTGGTGTCATTTATTTCCCTAATTCTCTTTTCTTGGCTTCTAAGCTGTTTGTTCCAGGCCAACTCCTAATCCTTTTTCTCTACCAGTTTGTCCTTAGATCACTAATTCTATCTTCTGCCTCAGTTACCCTAACTGTTAGAGAATTTAGATTAGATTGGAACTCATTGAGAGCATTGTGAACATCATCCCTGGTGGCTTTCACTTCTGCCCTAATCAATTCCATGTTGTCATTAATGGTTTTCTCCAACCTAGCCATGGCCTGGATAATTGTTACCCCGAATTCCCTTTCTGACTTACTGTTAAAAAAAAAAAAAAAAAACAGAAATGAACCCACAACTCTATCAGTTGTCAAGTAATTTTCGACAAAGCAGGAAAGAATATCTGATGGAGAAAAGACAGTCTCCTCAACAGGTGGTGTTGGGAAAACTGGACAGATCCATGCAAAAGAATGAAACTGGACCACTTTCTTACACCATACACAAAAATAAATTGAAAATGTATGAAAGTTCTAAATGTGAGACAAGAAACCATTAAAATCTTAGAGACAACACAGGCAGTAACCACTTTGACATTGACCATAGCAACTTCTTACTAGACAAATCGCCAGAGGCAAGGGAAACAAAAGCAAAAATGAACTATTGGGACTTCACCAGGATAAAATCTTCTGCAGAGCAAAGGAAACAATCAACAAAACTAAAAGTCATCATTCAGAATGGGAGAAGATATTTGCAAATGACGTCCGTGATAGAGGATTAGTATCCAAAATCTACAAAGAATTGTCAAACTCCACACTGAAAAACCAAATAATCCATTTAAGAAATGGGCAGAAGACATGAATAGACATTTTTCCAAAGACATACAGATGGCCAGCAGACATATGAAAAGATGCTCAACATCACTTATCATCAGGGAAATACAAATCAAAACTACAGTGAGTTATCACCTCACACCTGTCAGAATAGCTAAAAGCAACACAGGAAAAAACAGGTGTTAGTGAGAATGTGGAAAAGGCGAACTGTCTTGCACTGTTGGTGGGAATGCAAGCTGGTGCAGCCACTCTGGAAAAGAGTATGGAGGTTCCTCAAAAAGTTAAAATAGAACTACCGGGGCACCTGGGTGGCTCAGTGGGTTAAAGCCTCTGCCTTCGGCTCAGGTCATGATCTCAGAGTCCTGGGATCAAGCCCCACATCGGGCTCTCTGCTCAGCAGGGAGCTGCTTCCTCCTCTCTCTCTGCCTGCCTCTCTGCCTACTTGTGATCTCTGTCTGTCACATAAATAAATAAAATCTTTTTAAAAAAAGTGTAAAATAGAACTGCCCAGCAATTTGCACTACTAAGTACTTACACATAGAATACAAAAGTACTAATTCAAAAGAATACATGCACCTCAATATTTACAGCAGCATTATCAACAATAGCCAAATTATGGAAAGAGCCCAGATGTCCATTGATGAATGAATGAAAATATGTATATATACACAGTGGAATTTTACTCAGCTATAAAAAAGAATGAAATATTGCCATTTGCAATGATGTGGATGGAGCTAGAAAGTAGTATGCTAAGCAAAATCAGTCAGAGAAATAAAAGTACCATATGATTTCAATCAGTTGTGGAATTTAAGAAACAAAACAAATGAGCAAAGTGGGGGAAAGGGAGACAAACCAAGAAACAGACTCAACTATAGAGAAAGTACTGATGGTTACCAGAAGGGAGGTGGATGGGGGGATGGGTGAAATAGGTGATGGATGTTAAGGAGGGCACTTGTGATGAGCACTGGGTGTTGTATGGGTGTTGAATCACTATACTGTACACCTGAAACTAATATTAAAATGTATGTTATCTAACTGGAATTTAAATAAATACTTTATAGTTTGACAGAGAGAGAAATCACAAGTAGGCAGAAAGGCAGGGAGAGAGAGAGGAAGGCAGGCTCCCGCTGAGCAGAAAGCCCAATGCGGGGCTCAAACCCAGGACCCTGAGATCATGACCTGAGCTGAAGGCAGAGACTTAACCCACTGAGCCACTCAGGTGCCCCTTAAATAAATACTTTAAAGATTTTTAACAAATTTTTAACAAATAGTGTGGTGTAGGGGCACCTGAGTGGCTTAGTCAGTTAAGCATCTGACTCTTGGTTTTGGTTCAGGTCACCATCTCAGGGTCCTGGGATCAAGTTCCCCCGTGGTGTGCTTCCTGCTCATCAGGGAGTCTGCTTCCCCCTCTGCCCCTTCCCCTGCTCATGCTGTCTCTCTGTCTCTCAAATAAATAGATAAAAAAAAATTTTAGTGGTGTGGTACGTATAACAGCACTAATGGAAGATGTTCACTAATAAAATGTTCAGTTAGGGAAAAGGAGGAATGCCTGGGTGGCTCAGTCAGTTAAAGCATTTAACTCTTGGTTTCATCCCAGGTCATGATCAGGGCCATGAGACTGAGTCCTGTGTCAGGCTGTGCACTAGGCATAGAGTCGGCTTCAGATTCTCTTTCCCTCTCCCTTTCCCCCTCCACCCTCCATCTCTCTCTCTCTCTCTCTCTCTCTCTCTCTCTCTAAAATAAATAAATAAATCTTTTTTAAAAAATTTAAAAAAAAAGAACTAGGATTCAGATAGCTCAGGTTTCAGTACTTTCCTTTTACTTAATAAGGGCCAGATATAGCTCATTGTATAGCAAATAGAATGCTGGGTCATTTGCCTTTTCCTGGTACAGCATAATCAACATTTTGTACCATTCAGTCTCAAACAGGTTTTAAGAACTTTCAAGTGCTGGTAAGCAAACAATTGAGAGGGCCTTAGAGATTATAGTTCATGAGGAAAGCCATTTCCTGTTTGGACTTTGAGGGTTTGAAAATAAGATGAGCTCTGAAAGCTAAAGAATTAAAGTGACCCTTGGTCAGATCTGAGCCACCAGGAAAATAAGTATAAAATAAAAATCTATGATGTATACCTTAAAGAGAGATACGACAGTGATACAGCATCTCATTAAATACTTGCTAACATAAACTATCCTTTTCTCTTTTTCTTATTCTTCCATGTCTAAAAGATGGGTGAGGATCTACATTAATCACTTCTAAAAGCATCTGCATAAAGGCATCTTTTTCTATGCAAGGAAGGTGAGCGCAGGAAAAAACCATGAATGTGAAAGCTATTAAAAGTAGGCACATAGGGGCGCCTGGGTGGCTCAGTGGGTTAAAGCCTCTGCCTTCAGCTCAGGTCATGATCTCAGGGTCCTGGGATCGAGCCCCACGTTGGGCTCTCTGCTCAGTGGGGAGCCTGCTTCGTCCTCTCTCTCTGTCTACTTGTGGTCTCTGTCTCTCAAATAAATAAATAAAAATCTTTAAAAAAAAAAAAAGTAGGCACATAAGAAGAGGGGGATAATTCCCTAAGCTTTCAGACTACATTATACAGTTGACCTTTGAACAATGGGGGCACTAGGGGAACTGACCTCTCCCACCCCACACAGTTGAAAATTCATGTATAACTTTTGACTCCCCAGAACTTAATTAGTAATAGCCTACTGTTGACTAGAAGCTTTACCAATAACATAGTCAACTAGCACGTATTCTATATGTTGTATGTATTCTATACTGTATTCTTACCATAAAGTAAGCTAGAAAAAAGAAAATGTTATTAAGAAAATCATAAGGAAGAAAAAAAATAACGAAGAGAAAATATATTTATAATTGTATTTATTGAGAAAAAAATCCATGTATGAGTGGATCCATGCAGTTCAAACCTGTGTTGTTCAGGAGTCAACTCTACTTGCACAGTTTTCCCCCAACTTCCTAAGATATTAATCAGTGACAGAATCGTTAAGACTGGTGGGATGTTCAACTATCATCTACAACTTATAGATGGAAATCTGGAGCCAAAAAAATCTATTGTGACTTGTGAATAGTTAAAGAAGTTATTCAAGTTGTGAAAGACAAAAATAAAACTTTCAATTAGCTAAGTCTTCCTTCATTTGACTTGACAGAGAAACCATCTATGGGAGGATGTGGTATTTTACTTCAGACTTCTCCAGGGGCGACACTGCATACACCAAGCTGGCTTTGGACCGGCACACTGACACGACCTATTTCCAAGAGCCCTGTGGGTAAGTGAAGTAGAATTTTCCATATTAGGGTCTTTACATGTGATGGCCTTGAATAATTTCTTTATTTTCTTAAATTCCATTAGCCAACATATGGGACATCATTAGTTTCAGATGTAGTATTCAATAATTTATCAATTGCATATAATACCCAGTGCTCATCATATCATGTGCCCTCCTTAATGAATAATTTTTCTGTTTTCTATTTGAACCAAGATAATATCTGCTGCTACTGATATGTGTGACTATTTCTTTTTCTTCTCTTAGAAAGATGATCATTTTGAAAAATCTTTAGCTCAGTCTTCTTTGGACTTAAAAGAATATTTTTTTTTGAAATGATTGAGAATACACCTTACTATATAAATGGATCTTAACTTTGTTTAATTTGCATTTTTGTCAAAGTAATTACCAACAACTTACCAAAAAAGTGTAATCATTAGTTTTGGAATTGTACAATTTTCTTATATTTAGTTATATTGCAAAGGGTCAGTCTTTTAAACACAGCTTCTTTGGGTCAGTATTAACAGGAATTTGAATCCAAATTGTAAGAAGTTGGAGAGGAGGAATTAGTGAAAAAAACCTTTTTTCACATGGAATCAGAAGCTGCTGAGCCAAAGTTATACCATATTTTTCCCCAGCTTTATTAATATGTAATTGACATATAACATTGTATAAAGTTAAGGTGTACAATGGTAATATATTATTACCACTATAGCAAACAGAAAATAGATCTTAAATGACTCCCCACGAAAATGAACTGATAATTATGAGACACAACAGATAAATACCATACTCACCTACTGTTTACCACTTACTAGAGATACTTGTAGTTATTTTGTTACTGATCTTGCTTCTGCCTTTAGACGATGAGCCTGAGGCACAAAGATATTATTAAAGTGAGTGTACGTATGGATTTGTAAAGACAGTATGAGAGGGTGATAATATGCAATTGATTGTGCTTACATTGATTTTCTTTAAAGGTTTGGAACAGGGAGCGGTGGGTTAGGGGGTAGGAAAAGAATAAATGAAACAAGATGACATCAGGAGGGAGACAAACCAAAAGAGACTCTTAATGTCACAAAACAAACTGAGGCTGGCTCAGGGGAGTGGTGTAGGGAGAGGGTGTTGGGTTGTGGACATTGGGGAGGGCATGTGCTATGGTGAGTGCTGTGAAGTGTGTAAACCTGGTGATTCACAGACCTGTACTCCTGGGGCTAATAATACATTATATGTTTATAAAAAAATAAAAAATTAAGGGTTTGGAACTTAAGAATATTTGGTTCATGAGAGGAAGAATAAAGCAAGTTTTAGAGATCCTTGTCAATGTTACCAGTATATGAAGCTCCCAACAGCCCTCCATCCTCATTCTAGGGAGTGCAGAAGGAAGAAAGAGGAAATGGGATGGGAAGCATCCGGACAGAGGTTGACATTCAAATATTGAGTATTCTTTCCTCTTTGACCATTACCAAAGATAAGCAGTTAAGTTGTCTTTGCCTTTAATTTAAACCTTTCTAATCAATGACAAGGACCAAGTAAGTACATGAGCAATGTAGCAAGAGTGGTGAAGAGCTCAGGCCATGTCATTAAGAGATCTGGATCTGTATCCCAGCTGTAACATATATTAGCTTTGTGATCTTGGACAAGTAACTTAATTTCTCTATGCCTCAGTTTCTTCATTTGTGAAATGGGACTAGTAATAAGACCTATTCATTAGTATTGCTTAGGGATTACATTACATGATGTATTTAAAGCATATTTAAAGCATATTGCCTGACACATAATAAGTGCTCAAAAAATGCTATTATTATTACTATTATTATTATTACTATTATTATCATCACTTTAGCCATTATCATCATCATCATCAACATTGTTATATGCCTTGTCCTTTCAAAAGTTACCTTTGCCTTTACCTTTTGGATCTCATCTTCTCCAGCATCGTTGGAGATTGCTCTCTCCTACATCTTCACCCTTTCATACCTATTGACTCCTTCCTATCAGCTTCTCATATCTTCTTTGGACTCTTTCTCCCTCTAGCTATAGCCTTGCTTTATTCTTCCCCTTCTCAGCTAAACTTATTAAAAGAATCATCTACATTCAGTGTCTTCATTATCACTTCATTATCTTCATTATCACTTCCCATTCACACCACAATCCATAGTCAGCTAGTTTATCCAACCCCTTCCAATTAAAATTACTTTCTTTAAGGTCATCTGGGAGGCTCGGTGGGTCAAATATCCAACTCTTGATTTTGATCAACCCACATGGGCTCTGTACTTAGCGGGGAGTCTGCTTGAGATTCTCTCTACCCTCTCCCTCTGCCCTTCTCCTACCATATGCTCACTCTTAAATAAATAAATAGATAGATAGATAAAACAAAGATAAAATCATTCTCTCTAAAGTCACCAGCAACTAACTTATTGCCATACTCACTTCCTCTTACTTGACCCCAGGGCATGCTGTTAACCACTAGCTGTTTTTAAATATCCTTTCTTTTTTAGTTTTCCTCCTAGATCTCTGACTTTTCTTAAGCATCCAGTGCTGGCTTATTTTCTTCTGTCCATGTCCTAGATATTGTTGTTCCTCAAGATTTCCTGTTTGTCATCCTTTTCTTACTTGAGATGATCTCTCCAAATGACTTTTTCCATGCTCTTGGCTTTAGCTACCACCTACAAACTACAAAATCCACCTGTCTTCTGGGTTAAAAAGTCTTGACCTAGAAGTTTCACAGAAAACTCAACAGTCCAGAACTGATGTTTCTCATTTGAACTGTATGTATATTAGGTTCTCCTTGATTTTATTCCTTCTCTCTGCATTCCTTTTTTTTAACTTTTTTTACTTTGTTATTTACTTCTATTTTTTCTAAATTACTATTAATTTTATTTTCCCCTTATTAATTTGAAACTTCTGCTGTAGTTTTTCAGCCCTTTAAATCCCCTTTCCTTTCTCTGTTAACATTTTCAGCCACATATGACTCAACTATTTCAACAGGGCCCCTAAACTGAAGTTCTTCCTCAAACCCTCACACCCCCTCATTAAGATCAATTACACTTTTGTCTGCATTCTCCATTCCAGCAAATGACAAGTTGTCCAAGTGAAAAACCCAAAATCATTCTAGATTTGCTCCTTCTTCCTCTGCTACATTTAATCAGTTATCAAATCTTGTCAGTTCTACTCCTATGGTATCTCTTTGGTGTGTCTTTTTTAATAACACTCTTCTCTAAGCTCAAACCCTCAGTACTTTTGTCTACTTCAGCTACCACGTTGTCTTCTACATTTTTTATCATCTTCCTTCCCACCAGTCCATCTCCCATACTATCATCGTAATCTAGTTTTAAACAATGTTAATGTGGGGACGCCTGGGTGGCTCAGTTGGTTAAGCGGCTGCCTTCGGCTCAGGTCACGATCCCGGAGTCCTGGGATCGAGTCCCACATCGGGCTCCTTGCTCAGCAGGGAGCCTGCTTCTCCCTCTGCCTCTGCCTGCCATTCTGTCTGCCTGTGCTTGCACTCTCTCCCTTTCTCTCTCTCTGACAAATAAATAAATAAAATCTTTAAAAAAAATGTTAATGTGACCATAAAGTTTCCAAGTTTAAAATCCTTTCATGATTCTCTGTGCTATGCTGACAGGTACTTCTTTCTCTCTTCCTTAAATATATTTTGTAAATTGTGGCCTCTCTATATCTTCTATACAACTTTATTATAGTGCCTATCATATGTTACTGGTAATTATTTCCTTCATGTTTACCTACTAGACTGTGGGCTTTTTTAAAACAGAGAGTATATCTTACTCATGCCTTTATTCCCATGGTCTGCTTGTTCATATTTTAATTCATATTGAATATGTTTAGAAGAAACCTGTAGTGGAATTAATATTTCAAAGCACAAAAGTATAACTGAGTATAAGGAAAAACAATTAACTTGGAAATGAAAATGATATAAGTAGATTCAATTATTGTTTCATATATAATTTTCTAATCTGATATATTCTCTTTTCTGCACTAAACAGAAGAATTTAATTTTTTCCCTGTTTAGCATTCAGGTGTTTCACTGTCTTAAGCATGAAGGAACAGGTGGCAGGACACTGCTGGTAGATGGATTCTATGCAGCAGAACAGGTACTTCAAAAGGCACCTGAGGAATTTGAACTCCTCACCGAAGTGCCACTGAAGCATGAGTATATTGAAAATGTTGGAGAATGTCACAACCACATGATTGGGGTTGGGCCAGTCTTAAATATCTACCCTTGGAATAAAGAGCTGTATTTGATCAGGTGAGTACCGAAGAACCATCTGCCAGTATAATGTATTTACCAATTATTAGCCTTCAAATGATTAGCTTAATGAAAATACCTAAAATCCTTGTATTGCCCACATTTTAATCTTGCTATTTTATAGCCTTTATTAGTATAATTTCTGTTCTATTATACTTCCCATGGAAAAATAAATAGGCCAACAGGTAAATAATATTAGATTTGGAGGGAACAGATGTTTGAGATAGTATTTTAAAATGAAAGCACTATTGAAATCACAGTTATTAAACTGTGCTTACTGACCAAACAGGTAGAGTACCCAAAGGCATGAAAACCACAACATTTGTAGCCCAGATTTATGCAAATCTCCTGGCTTGTATATCTAATAGTCTACTAGATGTTGCACTTAAATATCTTGTAGGATCATAAAGCACATCATATTCAGAATTGAACTCATCATCTTCACTTATTTCAAGCCTGCTTCTGCACACCCAGTTGCGAGGATAAAAATAAATCGTTGCCCCTGCCTATGCACCAGGATTGTAATATGAACTACGCAAATACTAATTCCCTTCCACTGGATAACCTTCTCTAAAAAACTCTACCTTAGTCATCTCTTGTATCTCCATTGCCTAGAACAGTGAGTAGATATTCAGTACTTTTTCCAACATTTGATTATAAACACTTTAAACATAGCAAAAAGTTTAAAGCATTTACAGTAAAACCCATAGACCTACCACCTAGATTCTACCAGGAAGGTATTACTATGCTTGTTTTATTACCTATCTACTTATCTATCTGTCTATCTAGTTAATCTTATTTTTGATGCATTTCAAAATTGTACATTGTACGATTATACAAAATACATTGTAGCTATGACTACCTGTCCCCCTAAATACTTCAACATTTATATCTTTAAGTAGAGTTCAGTATGTTTACAAATGTTTAAATTTGAAATTAAATTTACATGTAATTACTTTTTAAAATATCAAATATATACTAGTTGAGTTTTGATAAATGCATAGACCTATGTAAGCTAAACCCCTGTCAAGATATAAACTATTACCATCACTGCAGAAAGTCCCCTTGTACCCTTTCCCAGTCCAACCTGTACACTCACCCCAGAGGAGATCACTGTTTGATTTTTGCCACCATAAATTAGTTTTTCCTGTTCTGGAAATTCATACCGTAGAATAAATCCATTTTTTATGACTAAACACCTGAGCTGTTTCTAATTTGGGGTTATTATGAATAAAACTGCCGTGAGCATTCATAGAGAAAAGTATTTTTGTAGATACGTGTTTTCATTTCACTCAGGTAAATAGCTAGGAGTGGAACTTCTGAGTCATGAAATGGGTGAGTATTTGTCATAAAACAGCTGCTGGAACTTTTACTAAAGACGATGTTTCATTTTACATTGTCATAAGCAGTGTATAAAAGTTATAGCTGCTCCATATTGTTGCTAATACTTGGTGCTGTCAGTCTTATTAGTTTTAGCCATTATAGTAGTTGTCTCTTTGGGGGTTAATTTGCATTTTTTTGGTGACCAATGATGTTGAGCATCTTTCTGTATGCTTACTGGCTATTTATGTATCTTCTTTTCTGAAGTGTCTGGTTTAATCTTTTGCCCATTTTTTATTGGGTTGTTATTATTGAGTTCTAGGAGTTCTTTATATACCCTGGTCACTATTTCTTACCTGATATATGTCTTAGGACTATTGTTTTCTAATCTGTAGCTTACCTATTTCTTTTAAACAGTATGTTTTTATGAGCAGAAATTTTTAATTTTAATGCAATTTAATTGAGTAGTTTTTTTCTTTAATGATTATTGTTTCTATGACCTGTAAAAGGAATCTTTGACTGCCCCCATGACATGATGACATTCTGTGTTTTCCAAAGGTGTTATAGTTCTATTTTTTACATCTAAATCTGTGATCTATATCAAGTTAATTTTTTCTGTGTTATGAGGTATGTGTAGAAGTTCATATTTTTTATATGTGAATATCCCGATATTATAGCCTCATTTGTTGAAACGACCTTCCTTTCCCCTATTGAATTGCCTTTGCAACTCTGTCAAAAATAAATTGACCAGGGGCACCCGGGTGGCTCATCAGTTGAGCATCTGACTAACTCTTGATTTCAGCTTAGGTCATGAGCTCAGAGTCACAGGATCAAGCCCACATCAGGCTCTGCACTCATCAGGGAGTCTGCTTGTGGATTCTTTCTCCCTCCCCCTCTACCCTTCCCCCTGCTTTTGCTAGCTCACTCTCTCGCTCTTGCTCTCTCTCTCTCTTAAATAAATACATAAATACATAAATAAACCTTTTTAAAAAATCAAATGACCATGTAAACGTGGGTTTGTCTCTGGGAGCTCTATTTGATTCCATTATCTATTTGTGGTTCCTTATCGCAGTTCCATACTCTCTTGGCTACTGCAGGTTTACAGTAATTTTTGAAGTCAGATAATATGTTTGTCAGCTTTGTTCTTTTTCAAGATTATTGTGGATATTCTAGATTAGGGGTCTACAGATTTTTTTGTAAAGGGCTAGATAGTAAATATTTTAGGCTTGTGAGTCACATGGTCTTTTTTAAAGATTTTATTTATTTATTTGACACAGAGAGAGAGAGAGCACAAGTAGGCAGAGCAACAGGCAGAGGGAGAAGCAGAAGCTCTGCAGGGAGCCCAATGCGGGACTCCATCACCCTGGGATCATGACCTGAGCCAAAGGCAGATGCTTAACTCACTGAGCCACCCAGGCGCCCTAGTCATATGGTCTTTATCACATCTACTCGGTACTGTTGTGGAAGCACAACAGCAGCCCTAAACAATATCTAAATGAATGAGTGGGCCTGCATTCCAATAAATATTATTTACAAAAATGGGCAGTGGGCTGGATTTGGTCCACAGACCATAGTGTGCCAGTCCTGGTTCTAGATTCTTTATATTTTTATATAGATTTTAAAATCAACTTGTCAGTTTTTAGAAAAAAAAAGCCTGCAGGGTTATGATTGGTATTGCTTTGAATCTGGAGATCATTTTGGTGATAACTAACAAACTAAGAGTTTTTAGTCTTCCAACCCATGAACCTAATCTATCTTTCTATTTATTTAAGTCTTTAATTTCTCTTAGCAGTGTTTTGTAGTATTGAAGATACAGATCTTATATATCTTTTGTTACTTTTATTCCTAAGTATTTTTATATTTTGATGGTATTATAAAATAAAATTTTATTACTATTTTCAAATTATTTGCTGCCATTATATTAAAAAAATCAATTCCTTTTTAAATTTAGCATTGTATCCTATAACCTTGCTAAAGTAATTCATTAGTTCCAAGTTTTGTTTTTTGGATTTCTTAGGATTTTCTATATAGAAAATCATGTTGTAAGGATAGTTTTCTTTTTTTTCCTTTCCAATCTTTATATTTATTCATTTGTTTTTCTTACCTTACTACACTGGCTAACACCTCCAATATGATCTTAAATAAGAGTGGTAAGAGCAGACATCCTTAGGATGTAAGTGTTCAGTATTTTGCCAGGTAGCATATTAGCTATGAGTGTTGGTGGGGCACTTAGGTGGCTCAGTTGGTTAAGCAGCCAACTCTTGATTTTAGCTCAGATCATGTCTCTGGGTCCTAAGATCTGTCCCCATGTCAGGCTCCACATTGAGCATGGCATCTGCTTGAGATTCTCTCTCTCTCTTTCTCTCTCTTTGTCTCTCCCCCTGCTTATGTGCCCTCTCTCTCTAAAATAAATAAAATGAATCTTTTTTTTAAAGAGTGTTGGTGATGTCTTTTATCTGCTGGATGAATTTCCCTTCCAGGTTCCCTGAGATTTTTTTTTTTGAATCACAAATGGGTACTGAATTTTGATAATGTCAATTATCAATAGAAACAATTATGTCATTTATCTTCTTTATTCTGTTAATACATTAATTACATTAATTTCAAATGTTAAGCCAACCTTATACTCTGAGAATAAACTGTACTTGATCATGATTTATTACTATACACACACAGTGTATGTGTGTGTGTATGTGTCTGTATGTGTATGTGTGTGTTAATAGTGTGGGTCCAGTCAAGAGATAAATATCACACAGTAGTTTCTTATTGTTGTTAATTTTTAAATTTTAACTGCAGAATAACATATTGTGTTATATTAGTTTTAGGTTTACAATATAGAGCTTCAACAATTCTATAAATTACTCAGTGCTCATCATCAGGGAAATACAACTCAAAACTATAAGGACATATCGCCTCATACCAGTCAGAATGGCTAAAATTAACAACACAGGAGACAAGCCTTGGTGAGGATGTGGAGAAAAGGGAACCCTCACACTGTTGGTGGGAATGTAAACTGGTGCAGCCACTCTGGAAAACAGTATGGAGGTTCCTCAAAAAATAAAAATATATCTATTGTATGATGCAGCAATTACACTAGTAGGTATTTACCCAAAGAATACAAAAATACTACTTCAAAGGGATACATGCACACCAATGTTTACATGCACACCAATGTTTATAGCAACATTATTTACAATAGCCAGATTATGGAGAGCCCAAATGTCCATCCATCAACTGATGAATAGGTAAAGAAAGTGTGGTATGTGTATGCAATAGAATACAATAGAATATTACTCAGCCATTAAAAAAAATGAAATCTTGCTATTTGCAATGATGTAGTTGGTGCTAGAGAGTATTATTCTAAGTGAAACAAATAAGACATGAAAGAGAAATAGCATATGGTTTCACCTCTATGTGATTTAAAGAAACAAAACAAATGATCATGGGGGAAAAAGAGAGAGGAAGACCAAGAAACAGACTCTTAATTATAGAGAACAAACTGATGATTACCAGAGGGGTGGTGGGTGGAGGGATGGGTGAAATAGGTAATTAGGATTAAGGAGTGCACTTGTTATGATGAGAACATGTTGTATGGAAGTGTTGAATCACAATATTGTATACCTGAAGCTGATATTATACTGTATAACTTAACTGGAATTTAAATAAAAACTTTTAAAAGG